TTTATATATTAATTTTATTTGTATTTTCTCTTAATGTTTTCTCTATTTACAGGACCACGAGCAATATAATAGAGGAGCCTTCACTCCTTATCGAAAACACCCATTAATTTTGACGAGTCATTTAATGAACAAGCTGCATGCAGCAGCCAGCTTGTAGATGATGGAGACATGTAAAGCCTCCACTTAAAAAGAAAAAGAAAAAAAAAAAAAAAAAGACATTGATTCGAATTTGTCGAGTTATTTAGATTTGGCAGCATCACGGTTAAAATCACGCATCCAAATATCTGATGATGAACACTTTTTGCTAAGTCTCCGTGATGACTTTGGTGCTGTACCACGGGGAAAATAAAAGCGAATTGAAAAGGAGAATGCTCGAATTAATTTCTGAATACGTAAAATAAAAAATTACATTTTTTAATTCCTGTTTTATTATTTAACACTGTGTACTATGAGCATCATACTTAGCATGACTTTAAAATTATTATTAAAGTGTTATGCATATTTTCTTTAAAAACTAATATTACGTCCTATTAAATTAAATAATGGAAACAAAACAAAAAAAAAAACAAAAAAAAAACAAAAACTGCTTTAAGTGTGTGCACAGCATAGACATTTCACGAAAATATAAAAGTGCATCGTATGTTACAGAACAAGACAACAAAATGCCTCGGCAATAAGTATAATTTAAATTTTTAGCAATGATAAAAGCTGAATAGTCTGAAAAAGCTATACAGAAAATAGATATCAATAATGTCAGCATAATGATACACATCTTAACTATTGTAATGAATCTACATTTATGCCTAATTTGTCTGTGCTATATTTATGGAATAACATTTACAGCCAGATTTTGTATTGCAGCAGATCTCCAACAGAAAATTCATTACTGTAAGCTACAGATTTATTTCTTTGCTAATATTTTTTTAATAATTTTATGCTTTCTGGTGAGAGAAATCTTATTTTGTTAATGTTCAATGTACATCATATATATCTTATATGTTAATATAATCATAATAATTAAAAAATCAATAAATCAAGAATTTGTAGAATAAATTACAAGATAATTAGAAAAAGAAATATATAAACACTGAGTAATTGATAATACAAAATAATATAGAAATAATGTGAAAGTAATGCAGTGACTATAATAACTGCCCATACTTTTCATTCTGTCTTATAATATACACTTTGAAGTTATTTATAATAATCACAAAAAGTATCAAAGTGAGCTGTGAAATGCTTACATGTTTTTCCAACCTGTTTTAATTTTTATACATTGTACATGCATATTTATTTTAAAATGAAATAAAAATATTATTTACACACACTAGCAACTTCGCTGCAAGCCTTCGTCTGGCTTTTGAAAGTACCGGAAAAATGGCTGAAGAGAACACCAAACATTAAATTTAAAAACTGCGTAGAATTTTGCTCTGCAGAACAACTTCATAAAAAAGTTATTACGTATAACAAAATTGCAATGAAATAAGCAGTATCCCTTAATACAAATATTAATTATCCTAATAAAAAAATTAACCAACTTTCCGTTGAAGAAGAAAAATCATGCAAAACTTTTCATTATCTTACAAATAGTGAAATATGCAATAACTAACATAAAAGCAACTCAAAAAACATAAAATTCCGTGCAAAAATTTACTCTTTACAACTAAAGAACAATACAGAACAACTTTATCAAAAAAAATCAATAAAATGTATTATATATGTATAAAAATAACAATGAAATATGCCAATCTCTTAAAAACAGTGACATAAGAAATACGATGAAAATTTGTTGCCAAACTCATATTTCTAAAAGAAAGAAATTATTCAAAATGATGTGATTTCATCAAAAATCTATCAACAATAATAAGACAGGAAAATTGTTGCCAAAATCACATTTTTATTAAAGATGTGAGATGCGAGAAGTGTACTCGGAAAGCTTCGTTAAAAAATTTTTTTTGAAGTTCTTTAAATTTCTTTAAATAATTAAATATTATCTTTTTCCAAAATTCTTTTTGTAAAGCAGTCGCAAGGATGAAAGTTTAACATGTCCAAAAATCAAATAAAAATAAACTATACATTTTTAAAAATAAATTTTTTTTAGAAAAAATTCCGTTGAAAAGGTGTTAAGCTCACTTTGTTAAATAAATTCGTATTTAATTGATTTATTGAAGCATGAAATTTATTTTAAGTTCGAAAAATAGCTAAATGCCTATGTTTCATGACGATGTGAAAATGGAGTGTGTAGAGTAAAATCTCGCTTTCCTATAGCCCATTATGTCTCAAAATGACGCGATTTCATCACAAAAATATAAAAAAAAAAATCTAATTCGATTCGAAAAATCGCTTTGAGGTGCCGGCTTTATCTAGATGCACCTATGTACCAAATTTCGTAGCCGTGGGTCTATTACCTTACGTGCAGTGTAAACGAAAGAACACACACAGACACACTCTTTCTTTTATTATATGTAGAGATTTAATTGGGTTGCACTCTCAGACCTATGCTTTTATTTTGCTAAGAGAGTGGTCCGTCATTTTCAAAATAACTACAGAATAAATCACGAACTGATCCAGAGGAAAATGAATAGTTATTGTTCCCTAATCTAAGAACTTTCAGTAGACCATTATTTGAAGATGTATCATCTCGCCAGAGTTTATTGGCTATCTCAAGCATGGGTCTGTCGGCAAAATTAGGTGGGTAGTATTTATAATTATGAGATATAGACTCGTATTTCATCAAGAAATTGTGCAGGCAGCAACATGCCTGAACAACTAATGTTGCTGTCTGAGGCTGTGCAATAATTGGATTCCGTAAAATCCTCCAGCGAGCAGTCAAAATACCAAATGTGTTTTCTATACATCTTCTTGCCCTGGAGAGCCTATAATTGAAAATCCTTTTTGAATTACTTAAGTTTCTACCTGAATATGGACGCATGAAATTTTCTTTCAGTCCAAATGCTTCATCTCCAACGAAGACATGTGGCAGACATTTGGAGCTTTTTGGTAACTTTTTGTACCCAGGCAGAAATTCTTTATCACGAGAAAGCTTTTTCCCAAGGTTTGAAGCTGAGAAAAAAATGCCTCCTCCTGATCACTGAAAATTTCCAATGTCCACCATTGTAAATAAATATGAAGCATCACATGCAGCCATCAAAACGATGCTGTGTGACCCTTTGTAATTGAAATAGGTAGAGCCAGCATGTGCTGGAGCCTGAATGACAACATGTTTGCCATCGACAGCTCCAACACAATTTGGGAAGTCCCACACTGTGCCATATTCTACAGCTATTCTCTCATAATCACTTTTCTCTCTGGCTCTTTTAGATATACCGGCTGAAGAGCTGTCCATATAGCATTGCATGTCTCAGGCACCACAACTCCTACAGTAGATTTCCCAACACGAAAACTATATGCCAAAGAACTGTAGCTGTTTCCAGTTGCAAGGTGCCTAAAAAGAATATATATCACAAAGATTAAATATATGTAAAGTATAAATCACAACACATTTATAAACATATCAAATTGAAAGCAAGTTATTTTAAAAATACATCTACCAATGCATTATTTCACAGTTTATCATTTCAGCATAATTGGCAAATAAGTACTTCGATCAGAGTTTACATTCTTTATTGAGTTATGCACTAAAATATTTACTTTATGTTTAATTTGGTAGATGTTTCTAAATAAAAGAATGACTCTTAATATTAGAACTGCTGATGAGAAATAAATATATATTTCAATCAAGAAAGAAAATCTTCCATTTTGATGAATCATTTGCTTTTATTTTAAGTAAATCAAGACCTGTTTATGACTGCACGGTGTAGACCTGCCTTTTGCCTAATTTAAGTTTCATTTTTGCTGGGAAAGGTTTTGTTTCATTTTTGCTGGGAAAGAAAAAAAATTAAAAACAATGAGTTTCAGTGATCTACCAGGAGATTGGGAGACGATGTAATGAAAACCTGAGAGAGATAATTGCTACTATATACACACACACACACACACTTCCCCCAAAAAAACTGAATTACAAATTTTTAAAACCATGACAAAGAATTTATAGTTTTGTTAACTACTTTAAACAATATTTTGGTACGTAACTTTTATGAAAGTTGGTTCAAAATTGATGTTATGGAGCATTTAAGTTTTCGGACTCAGTTTTGCCGTGATAAAAAGTCATTAAAATACATGCTTTGCAAGCTGTTTGTATGGAAATGCATGTCACATTTCTCACCATATTTTGCTTTGAGAATCAATTGGTTCAGCTCAATCGTCTTATACTACACAGGGTGGTTCAAAACTATATGTCAAAAATGTAGAGGGGACCTAAATAAGCAGATTTAATATAGGAAAGTGTGTGCGGTAATGCCGCATTGAGCCGGTAGAGGGTGCTGATGAGTACGGTGTATAAAAGCGGTCCTAACTGGCTTCTTCATTTTCCGTATGGATCTCGAAGAGCATGCATCGTTATACCAATGCAGAGCTTACCGACATGCATTTCATGTATGGGGCTGCACAAAGAAATGAATTAACTGCTCAAAGAATGTACAAGGAGCAATTTTACGGGAAGGTCTTACCTAAACCAGCTGTTCACAGACAAATGTGGTTCCAGCATGATGGAGCCCCACCTCACTTCAGCGGGAATGTCAGGAATCACGTGGACGCTGTCTACGGCCAGCATTGGATAGAATGGGGAGAAACTGGCCACTGCGTTCTCCTGATTTAACCTGCTTGGATTTCTTTTTTTGGGTCTTATTAATGGCTTCATGTACAGGAGTCCAATCACACCTATAGAAGATCTTGTTTCCCACTTGTCTGTTGTTGGACATACCTGATGTCTTTTCCAAAGTATACTGATCCATGTGTCGCCACTGAATTTTGCATCTCTGTTGGTAGCCACTCTTTCAAATGCCTATTGTAAACTGTTAATATTTTTTTTTTTTTTTTGTCTTTTCAGTTTCCTGTGATTCATACTGCTGTACGTGCTAGTGTTTTTGTGCGACATTACCACAAATGCATTCCCATATGAAATCTGCTTATTCAGGCCCCCTCTGCCTGCCTTTACATTTTTGACATATAGTTTTGAACCACCCTATGTATGTACTCGGGAAAAGCTGTAACGTAACATAAAATAATACTTTTATTCTAAAAAAATTAGAGCATCATAGAAATTGTTATATTGCCTATTTTTAAAAAGACATATTTTACAAACATTGAAATATTTATTCTTGTATAGTGTTTCTGGAAAGGCATTCATATTAATTCATTTACATAAATTACCATGGACTATGTACGTTTCAGTGATAAAATAGTACTAAATACACCATTTGAAAATTTAGAATCACATATGTAAAAGTTTAAGTTGAATTATTAAGTTATTTACCGCATTCATCATAATAAACACTTAATGGTATATCTGCCTATTATGGGAAGGGGAAAACTTTCATGAAGAACTTTGTAAAAGGAGTTCATTTCTAGTTCTAATAATAATGCAAACACCCATTGGGAGGGGGAGAAAAACATACACCTAATAAGATCCACACCTCTGGAACTAAGATCAGCATATGCAAAAGAAATACAGTCAAAAGTCATTAATTCGGACACCCATAATCCGGACCTCAAAACTAAAAACTTTCTGCGCATGCGCCGCGTTAACACATGCCCATAGGCATTTACGCGTGCGCGTAAGACCTTTACGACTGCGCAAGTGCAGAATACATTTTCGTGTGCGTGTTTAACGTATAACGGACGGTATAAGCTAAAATTATCTATTTCAGTTAATGTTGATGATCGAGTTGTTCCTTAATCTTCGAACTAGATCCGGCTTATTACTTTTTTCACACTGTAAGAGCAATTTTATAAAAATAAACTTGAACTTTCGATTATGTCAAATAGAATTTCCGATGCTGGAGCTCCCAAAGGATCTACAAAACGAAAGTATGTTTCGATGTCCATCAACAAAAAGTGGAATTGCTGCAAAAAATGGATAAAGACATGAAGAAGGTGACAGAGAGGTTAGTGAAAACGAAAAAAATTCGATTGACAAGTTAGTGGGTATTCTCGACGCAGCAATTACGGGACTTGAACAGCGGAATTTTGTAATTGAACAAGAAATTATGTCTGTTTATAGAATTAAAGAGAAATTATTATCATATAAAACGAAGCAACTTAAACAACTTAAGTTGAAAGAAATGTTTAATAAAGTAAACAAATAAATATTAAGCTTTTTTTTGGTAAATTTTGATACCCTTTAGATCATAATTGTTCTTTATTTCATAAATTACGGTTTCATATTTTTAATTTTAGAATTTCTGCATGCCATCTTACCAGATTTAAACTGATGATCTATGATCCGGAAAAAATCGATAATCCGGAATCGCCGAAGTCCGGATTAACGACTTTTGACTGTGTATTAGTATTTAAAGGTTTCAGTCACATAGTCAGTGGTAGGCCTGAATGAGTGAGAGTGTTTGGTTTAAAAGGTCAGTAAGCAGGAAATAGAAAAATAAAAATAATTATCTCATTAGACATTCATATAAATACTTCAGAATTGAAATCAGATGAATGATAGAATTAATGCTTTTTTAACAACAAAAATCTTGCAATCAATAATAAATAACGACGTTTAATATTCTAAATGAAGAGCAAAAAGTAAAGGGTATCATGCATTAGAGTATTTGGCAGAACAACTGCTAGAAGTTAAATTTTTAGAGAAAAACTTTTAATTATGAAATCTATTTTTCTTTTATTTTCCTTATTGTTAATAATTTATTTAAATTACAAGTCCATTATTAGTTGATGATAAACAAGAATTAAACTAATAAATAATTAATGTACTGCAGTTTCTTGCTTAAAGGGTTTTTGAAATGTTTTGCTTTATTCTGATTCACAATTTAGCACGACTTAGGAAATGCAAACTTACCTCAAACAAATGCTCAGCCTTTCTTCTGGACTCAGTGGGGCTCTCATATTTGTCCGATTTTTAACATGCAAGGGGCTTACTAAAGCTGCAAGTCTGTTAAATTGGTCAGTACTCATCCTGAAGTAATTAAAAAATAATTCGGATATTTGTTTCGCATGCGAGGCAATAAAGAAAAAAATCTCCTTGAACAGGTTGCTCTAAATAAATCTTTCGGAACCATTCTCGCCGTTTTTTACTGCTGCTTAATGACTGTACTTAATAGTAATGTGTCAGCTATCCCAAAATCATCTGAATCTGACATCATCTAGCAAACCTACAGAAACACAGCGAAGTTAGAAGATGACTGCTCCATTGATCCGGGAAACAATGCTATATTACAGCGTCACGTGATTATTTTGCTGCAAATAATTCTATTGGTTAAACGCACTCTTCGCAAGCGTACTCGTTTGGACACTGTTTCACTGGTAACGTAAATGCGCTTTCGTTATCTACGTTCCGAGTGTACTCGTAAACCATTAAAGTGGCTTATTAGTGACTCTTTACATCATTAAAGGTATCAATCCAATCAATCAAGACTTAAAAAGGCTGTGTGATTAAAATTTCAAATGAACATAATAGACTACAGATATAAGAATGTTACTTTTATTGTGAAACATACAATTACACATTCTTCTAAAAGGCTGCACTGGAATGTCAAATGCAACACATATTTCAAGGAACCATGATATTTCCCATGATAATTTTTGCCTTGTACTTCAATAAAAGACAGTGTACTTAAGTTTCATATCAAACAAGAGCTCAGAAATAAATATTGTTCAATTATAGAAATAAATAGTGAATTTCATTGGCAATCTACAGTATCAACGTAAAACAGATAAAAATATTCTAAAAGATAAAAAATTATTCTAAAAATTTCACTTATTTCTTTTTATTCCTTCAAACAAGACAGTACGAAAGTTTAAATTGCAGTTAAATGCTAGTGGAATTGTACCATTAATCCACAATTAGAAATGCCTTGCATTAAAATTTTTTTAAAAATAATTATTTATCTAGAATGAAAATACAACTGTAATTGTACAATAATTTGACAAATAACTACCCAAATTATTTTGCATGATTTTTAACAGCTCAGAGTTAAACTCAAAGCCAAATTTAAAATTCAATAGTATAATCTTAACATAAGATAGCATAATGCTCTCGTGACAGTTTACTTGACAAATGTGTTTACTGACTAAGAGTTGCCGATTTCAGATTACTACCTACATGTTTCTCTCACTTTCAAAATACTGCTTTAGACTCAGAATTTAAAGATTTCATTAATTGGTTGTTTTTAATTGCCAAGTAGTACATATAAACAATCAACTTCTGATTAAAAGTTTACATTTCACATAAATCATGCTCGATTTATATATATATATATATATACATATAACACCATTTTGAATAGTGCTTATGAAACTCAGCTATTTGCCAAATTTTCTATACAATTCAATAGTTAAATAGCTTTGTTACCTGAAAACAAATATATAGATGGTATATGAATGTAGAATGAATTATATAAATAGATACGTAAAATGTGGGATTAACACAAAACTTGGTGAAAGACCCTATAAACAAATTTAAAGCACTTCTTTGATTTCATTGAAGTTATAAAACAGTACACCTGCCATGCAAGGAAGACACTGGAAAAGACTAAATAAATCTAATTTCTTTAACATTTTCTAAATTTTTACTAGGTATTTTATTTTGCTTTGTATATCAGTTTATGATATTTATAACATACATAATCATTTCAGACATTAAAAATTCAATAAGGTCAGTTCATTTAGTGTTTTTAATCTTAAGAAAATTAATTTTATACTTTAGTATCTAATTTTCTTGAAAGAAATCACAAAAAAGTATTGATCTGAAATAATATACAGTTTATTATGTTTAGTAAATCAGTTCATGTATATTCATTTCACTTTCAGTATTGCTTTCCTCTGATTACACACATATAATTTTGTAATTTTTTTTTTATCTAAAATAATTTTGTACGTAAAATACAATTATTATAAAAGTTAACACAGGATAAAGCTGGCAATCAACTTAATTTCATACTTTACTTCCATTTTCTATTTTAAAGCAATTTTATAAATATTTCTTTATCAGTTAATTAAAGGGAACTATGAAATGACACATACAATGCTGGTTGACAGAATTTTGCAAAATAATAATTGACAGTGTCCATAATAGAAATTTCATACAATACTACACAATATGTTAAAAAGTGTACTTCCCATAAAAGCAAAGATATATCTGTATGTTCAATAAACTATTGCTCCTAAATTTAAATTTATCACATGCTTATTTTATAAATCTGTTTAGGCTAACTTCCCCACATGAAAATATAAGCAGTTCATATTGAAAAATGTACAAAGTTATAATTTAACTGTACACAGGCCATAGTACTATTAAATAATGTATAATGCTATACAAACAAATTTAAGTAAAATGTGATTTATGAAGTTAGAAATTCAAATATTTTTCACATTTATGATAAAATTACTTTTTTAATATTCAAAGTACAAAGTTTTCATTTTATACTTAAAAAGAATACAAACTTTTCAAGTACATGTATGTAAATGCACAAAACTCCAAATCAATGATATCACTGTATAAAATGAAATAATTGATCATTCAACTATAAACAAAAAAATAAATATTTGCACTCGTACTCTTAAATTCCATGGCATTTTCTGACAACAGATATAACAGAAAAAATAAATAATTCTGTACAATATGAACAAACATTGTTTTTTCTTAAAAGTGACAGATATACAAAAGTCTCAAATTTCAATTGCATAAGAAATTAACTAAGTGCCTTCTAATGTCAGTAACCTCTAAGTCCATTATAAACTTTTGTCTTTGATGCTTCATTAAGTATTTCTTTTATTTCTGAAAGGAGAGGGAAAGTGATCAGTTACATGGAAATAAAAAAAATATAAATAAATAAAAAAAAACCAATCACAAAAGAAATTTATGAAAGAGTTCATTTGAATAATTTCACTTTATAGTGAATATTGCATAATTACTCCCATAAACCTAAAAATATCTTGAAATTTAAAAAAATAAGCTCATGTAAAGATCGCATCATTAATATTCATTTATATAAAATAAGTCGCATTATATGTTTCATATTTGCTATTTTTCTAAAACTGATATCACATACTACTTTATTTCTTAACATTCTTATTAATTTATATAATGAATATTGTGGAACTGAAAGCAATTTAAAAACACTCAAAACTGCAAAGATTAAACAATTTTTTAGAAGAATTATCAAGATATGACTATTTCAGTGAAGTGCTATACAATAATCAAATTAAAAAACTATGAAAGCAATTTAAAAACATTTTCAAAACTAAATATTAAATAATCCCCCTCAGAATAGTTAAGAAGACACAACTAATTCAGTAAATGTGTGTGTGTGTATTGAGAATATGGCAAAGCACACTAGGGCTATCTGCCTAAGGGGAGGGATGCCTTCGTGGAGGACTTGCTAAGAGAAACTGGTTCGTATACATGTTACACATGGGGAAAACCATGAAAACGCCCATGCAGCCAGCCCGTTCGCGGGATTCGAACCTCAGACCGAACTACCGGTGTTCAGCGATTTTACCGCTCGGCCGATGGTGGGCACTAATTCAGTAAAAAGCTATAGAATAATTAAATTAAAAACTATCATCAAAAGACATTAAACAGCAAAATTACAAACTTTTTAAATTTATACAGAAATATACAACTAAATTTAATCATTTTTAGGTATTTCTATTCTAAATTTTCTCCTAGATCCATTATTCTAGAAAATTTCTATTTTAGATTTATCTCAAGGACAGGAGAAGGATTATCAATATAAGTTCAAATTTGTTATAAAACAAGTCTTCATAAATTTGCAATAAATTTATAGAAATTTTCCATATATTTTTGCAACATTAGATGAAAAATAAAAGTAGCAAAATTAATGTAATGATCTGATATAAAATAATTTTAAATGAATAAAAAAAGTACATACTTTCACGATGCTCAGCTGTTAGTTCACCTTTGGGAAAATCAACATCAAAAGTGACATACAGAGTTCCCTTAAGGTTGTTATTCTCATAATTAGGCATTCCTTCATTCTTTTTCCTAATTCGGGCACCAGGAAATGTAATTTTGTCTCTTGTTATTTCAACCTAGGAAGCAAAAATTCACATTAAAATATTAACCATTTATCAAAACTGAAAGAACAGCACATATATACATGCATACACATGCTTAAATTAATGCAATGGAGCAGCATATACTGAAATATATACTGAAAATTTACAAACACAAATACATGCTTTTCTATGATTAGCAGTTTCTCATAAAAATAAAGATAAAATTATGTTTGAATGGTTATCAACACTTTAAAAACTGAGGAAATGAAGGTTTTTGTTGATTCTAGTTTAATTATGACCATTAGCATGGTTTTTAATTACAAGTAAAAGACAGTTACTGAAATTAATAAAATGTGTGAATAGTTCACACTACATTTAACACTGTTTCATAAAGTTATTATTAAAGATATTAGAAATGGCAGCATATTGCTATAAAAATTTTTTTCAACTTTTATTTAGTTAGTAATTTTGTGTTTTGGTGTTTAGTCAATAAAAGTTGATCTAAAGAAATGATTAGCTTTTGAAAGAATAAACATTAACAGTTTATAAAATAAAAACTATAATTAAAATTGGGAGGGGCTAAGCGACTTAGGGGTTATATAAAAAAATTTGAATTTTATACAATAAGCAATCTTATGGCAAAGCATTTGACAGCAAGAAGGGAAGCTGGCTTGCATACAACATGTAACACATGGGGAAAACCATGACAATGGCCGTGCGACAGCTCGTTTCTCAGGATTCAAACCCCCAGACTGAACTATCAGTGTTTAGTTCTGGGCCTACGGTGGGCTTAACAATCTAACAGTTAAATAACCAAATATTGTATTATTTTGAATTTAAGTGTACTTTTTATTCAGATTTTTAAAACATATAATTAGGATGCAGCTTAAAGTCAAAGCAAACATTTTCACATCTTATTTTTGTAAGCTCCCAATCTACAATAATGTACTTCTTTAACCTTTCTAAATGTCTTTTTTAAAATGCTACATGGCTAATAATTTGAATGGCAGTGCAAATGATGCACACTTGTGCAACAATGAAGCACAGAATTCAAAATCTGAAAGTGAACATGTCCCGAGTGATAGTATATCTGAAGAAGATTCTCAATAAAGTAGGTAGCTTATTATATTTACATCAGTACGTATCCAAGTAAATAAAAGGTTTACTTTTCATTAAAGTACTGTACAATTATTTTTTATAAATTTTCCAATTTTAAATTCCTACAGGCATTAAACTTGAGATTACTTTTTTTTCAATTTCCCATTTTCAACATCCTACTACGGCTAACATTAGAAGTAATATGGTATTAAATTATTTAAATTTATTTTTTACACATAAAAGAACTTTTATTTATTATTTAAAAATATTTTTAAAAACTTCAATTTCTTACTAAAAATAACTAAATTGTGAAAAAATAACCTCTGATAAGTTTTTAATTTATTAAACTCAAGTTCTTAACTAAAACCATGCTTACATTAGGACAGAAAAACCCTACTAATGGCAAAATTTAAAAAAAAAAATATTTAAATAAATCTGGACTGTCTCTGTGTAGTTGATACTCTTCCTTGGCTAGCAAGGTCACTAGACCTTTCACCAATTGAGCATGTTTGGGACATAGTAGGCCGCCAGATTCGGGCACCACAAAATATCGCAGATATGGAGCGACAACTGATGAATGCCTGGCAGAATGTGTCGCAGAATGACATTAGGATCCTCTACCATTCCTTGTTTCAATGAATTCAAGCAAACCAGGGGCAACCAGGAGCGGTCCGACCAACTACTAATTTGAACACTCAGTGGGAGCTTGTGAGCCATGAACAGGTACTATGACCTTGATTTTTTAATTATTTTAATATCTGTGTATGAGTTATACACATATTCAATTTTATCAAAAACAACCACTTCCTTTATGGTGCTTCAATTTTTTTTGCAAAAGAGTGTATATCAAACAATTACTTCTGAAAGAGATATTACCATTGATGAAACTTTGATGTTGTTGAAAGAATATTTATCCTGGCGCCAATATATACACAAGATAAAAGCAAAATTTGTACAAAACATATATGCTAAGGGAATCTAGTACTGATTACATACAGTCATTTATTATATATACCAGTAAAGATATTTTATTTCCTCCTAAATTCTGATCTCTATGGGTACCTTCACAATACGTACAATATTGTCAACAACAAAGGAAAAAAATGTCAAAGATTGGCTTCAAGTGGAAAAATTGTTCCAAATACATATCGAAGGAAAAAACAGAATGTTTCAAATGTCACAAAGGTAAGATCTTTCTTTAATGGTAATAGAAAATCATTAAAATGCTCATGCCAACTGTATACAAAGTGATTAAACTGACATGAATCTTAAAACGGGGGGAAAAAAAACATAATGTGCATAGTCTTTCTCCACAACATATCACCGAACACACTGCAGAATTTTTTATGAGAAACGTATGTCCGGACAAAAATGGAAAAACGCTGTCTCAATAGTTGAAACCTGGATGTATTTAAGCGACTGCAATAAAAAAAGGTCCATTTATTATTATCAAAGAGGAGGGAAAAAATTCTAAAAATCCTTCAAAGAATCTGGAAAAGTTTTTCAAAGGGATTTATGATTGTCGTTGGTTTTTTGTATAACAGCAAATTAAAAATAAAGAGAATGGAGATAAATGTTAAGATCAACTCTGCATATTATGAGGAACATATTTTTAATCCAATTTTCAAATATGAAATACAAAGTCTGTAATCCGGACTCGTCGGGACTTCGGCAATTCCAGATTATAGATCATCAATTTAAATCTGGTAAGATGGCATACAGAAATTATACATCTAAAAATATGAAACCGTAATTTATGAAATAAAGAGCAATTATGATCTAAAGGGTATCAAAATTTACAAAAAAAAAAAAAAAAAAAAGAAGCTTGATATTTATTTGTTTACATTATTAAACATTTCTTTTAATGCAAGTTGTTTAAGTTGCTTTGTTATTTGTGCTAATACTTTCTCTTTAATTTTATAAACAGACATAATTTCTTGTTCAGTTACAAAGTTCTACTGTTCAAGTCCTGTAATTGCTGCGTAGAGAATACCCACTAACTTGTCAATCGAATTTTTGTTTGATGGACATCGAAACATGCTTTTGCTTTGTAGATCCTTTGGCAGCTCCAGAATTGAAAACACTTTTTTACATAATCGAAAGTTCAAGCTTAACTTTTATAAAATTGTTCTAATGATCTGCAAAAAATGATAAGGCGCATAAGAAGATTAAGGAACAGCACAATCTGCAACATTAACTGAAATGCCTTAGAATGAGTAAAGATAATTTTAGCCTAGCTTATACCGTCCATTATACATTAAACGTATTACGCGCATGCTTAAAGCATACAAAAAAAAAAAGTTTGTGGCTTTTAGGTCCGAATTATAGATTATTCCGGATTACGGACTTTGTACTGTACCTTATTTTTACTCACAGTGTGATTATCAATCAGTAGAACTGCATCAAGACAAAGCAAGTAGCCACACATCACAATCTAGTGTTAATTTCCTAGAAAAAATGGAATAAAAAATAGGTATTGAAGCCATACCCTTCATTCATATCCCTACCAAATTTCCTGATGTATCACCCATGGATTTTTGCACTTTTGGACTTTTAAAAAGCGGATAGTCCAAACGTCAACTTGCAACCCTCCTTGGATTTTGGAAAGCTGTTCAAGAGGAATAGGACAAAATACCTCTTCCAGTACTACAAAAAGCTTTGTCTTTGAAGTTACGGTATAGAAAGATAGTGAAGAATAAGGGCTATGAAATGGAACACATAAAACACAAAAATTTTAGGTAAAACATTTTGGTAAATACAATGAAAATCATCTAAAAAATGTGTAAACAGCCTGTCTATTGTAAAGTTTGTAATGTAGGACTGTGAAACCATATTTCAAACTTTATCGCAAACAGAAAAATTAAATTTTTGAAAAAATATTATAGTTATTGTTGATGTTGAATAAAAGCATCATAATCTGCAGATAATGCTGTCCATTATTTAAAGCAGACATAACTTTTCTTTCTCCAAAAATTATATACAGGAAAGATAAATATAGAGTAAGTTATATTTAAAAAAAAACATAAATTTAAGGTAAAATACCATTATTATATTACCATGTTATTACATTAATCTATTTTAAATTTTATAAACATTAAAAAATCTATAAAAATTTTATGATTTTTAGAACAAATTTTGTCAGAATTGTGTGACAAGTAAGGAGTTCGAATTTTAATATCAAAATAAACTTTGTGTGAACCCAACCCCATTCATTTGGAATTAAAGTAAGATACACACGCAATGAAGGTACAAACACAAAACTCAATATATCAGTTCAGAATATAAGAAATATATCACTAAGAATTGCCGAAGTAATCAACCATTGATTTGATTTCATTAAAAATAATAGTCAATGACTATCCTAAAATATATATTTCTCCAAAATTCAGGCTCATTGAATTTCTCAATACATCATAATTATTCCTAAAGTTTTCTGCATTTGCTAAACATGATTTCCCTTAGCATTTCTTTGATAAAAGTCACAAAACATACAAAAATGTTTAATAACCATTTTGAAATTTAAACATTTATTCAAAATTTTTTGCTAATTTCCTAACAATGTTAATATTATAATATAACTTTCTGGATGTTTCACGACGAAATACTTTTTGTTACAAATGAGAATTCTGTGTAGCAATTACGAGGGTAAGGAGAAAATTTCTCGGCCTGACCCAGAGATAGTGCTCCAATCAGCAAAAATTTATGTTTCTTGCCTGGGTGCAGGTGACATTAGTTCATATGGCAAGTTTCAACTTGTTCTCTCAAGTAGTTTATTTACATGAATTTTTGAAGTTAATGTCTTCTATGTTATTCGTTAAAATAGATAAACTTGAATACTGTGCTCTCATAAAATTCTTCGTTCCGGATGGATTAAGCCCTAAAGAAATTTATCCAAAGTTGAAAAAAGTTTATGGGAGCTCTGCTACTTCCATGTCAACTGTTAAAAAATGGGCAGCTGAATTTAAATGTGGTCGCACATCCCTCGAAGATGACCCATGTGAAGGTTGGCTCTAAACCGCAACCATCGAAAAAGTGCATGATATCATGTTGAACAATAGGCAAGTGAAGGTACACGAGATAGCTGAAGCTGTGGAGATATCAGAAGAAAGGTGCAAAACATCTTGCATAAAGAATTAGGGATACGAAGCTCTGTGCAAGATCGGTGCCGCATTTGCTGAATGCAGATTAAAAGCAAATGCGCAAACAATTTTTACAGCAATCTTTGGACTGATTCAACAGGGATCTTACCGATTTTGTATGCCGATTTGTCATCATGGATGAGACTGGATCCATCACTACACGCCAGAAATGAAACAACAGTCCAAGCAGTGGGTGGAAGCCGGTGGCTCGGCGCCAAAGGAATCGAAATCTATCACATCTGCTGGAAAGATCATGGCTATTGTGTTTTGGGATGCGAAAGCAACCTTGTCAATCGATTACCTTGCAAAAAGGAACACAATTACAGGTAAATATTACTCCAACCTTCTTGACTAGCTGGGTGCCAAAATTTGCGAGAAGAGGCTTGAAGAAAATATCATCTTTCACCAGGACAATGCCTTTCCCCCTATTCTCCCGATTTAGCACCTTCAGGCTTCAATCTGTTCCCAAACTTGAAGAAATTTGTTTCTGGGAAGTGCTTCACACACAGTGAAGAAGTTGAATATTTTCATAACCTTCCAGACTCTCACTTCTGGGAAAGAATACTGTGCTAGACTAAGTGTGATGGTATCAAGAGAGATTATGTAGAAAAATAAAGTAATTTTTTAACTGAAAGTTGCAGTCTTTCATTGTTAGGCCGAGAACTTTTCACCTTATTCTCTTACATCTTTAAAGATCAATGTAAATGTAGATTTTCTTTGCTCCTGGCAAAAAAAAAAAAAAAAAAAAAAAAGAGATTCAACTTTCTAACTCAAAATTTTGGGGAGCATTTCAATACTTTCTCAAAAATACTGAAAATAATAGTAAATATTAAAAGTTTAAAATGTACACAAAATCCATAATCATAATGAAATTCATAAAATAATCAAAACTGTAACAGCTTTCTTAAAGCTATAAAACAGTATTCAACTTTAATGTTGTGGAGCCATAGAAATAACAATGGACTTTTTAAAAATCCCCATATAAAAAATATTAAATATAATTATCTAAACCTATGATAACCTGTTCCTAACTATCTTTTGCTCATGTAATGCTAAGATTCTGAGGCACCAAATAATCTAAGTAATAAGTTGAGAAATGCTGCCACATAATAAACTTATAACATATATGGAACTAAAACAAACCTTATGACCATCAAGATGTGTAATCTCCATTGTGAAGCCACACAGTGCATCAGTAAGAGATATTGTTAGATTGGTATATAAATCATCTCCTCGCCTTTCGAATACAGGATGACTGAAATATAAACACATTTATAAAATATAAACAAAATTAATTATGCAAAGTTTTGCTCAATTATAATACAGTGTTTTAGTACTGTTACAAGGGTTCTCTTAGATATACTTCACGAGTTCAATGAAACCCATATTAATTCACTAAACATAGAATCTAATTTGAATTAATTCTTATGTACCATAGTCAAAATAAAGTTGTGTTTTTGTAGTAGTGCTAGTTCAGAGATCACTGATACAAATGCAAATCTGAATCTCTAGCAAATACAATCAATGTGGTTATAAAAGTAATTATATTGATTGCCTACTTAACCTGCAAAATATTGATACAGAAATATAGGCTTAGAAATTTTCAACATAATTACTTATATTTACGAAAACCAACATCATAATGGAATCATATGAATAAACTGAAATTTACAGGAAATGCTAAGTAGATTACAATAAGCAACTGGTTAGAATTTTAGTAGTAATGCATGCATGGACTGAGCAGCTCACTTTGAACTATCTTCCAAGCCCTAAGAAAAAGGTATAGCAGAAAACTAAAAAAAGTACTTTATTATCTGCCATTTAACAAGAAGTCATTATGGCTTTTTAACAATGAAGGGCCCAATAATAAGCAAATTGTATCATTTAAAAGATAATGAATGATTGGCCTACGAGAACGATAATTTTCCTATCATGAATTCATATCTTATATCAGGCAGTGTTTCGTTAATGATGAACGTATGGAAGAAGTGAGTTAAGAGAACCAGATAAGTCAAAATCTTAACAGCAAAAGATGATAGACATATCATATGCACAATAAGGATGGACTATGTAGCTTCATCCAGACAACTGGCACAATATCAACACCAAAATATGCAAATACGGCATCAAAAATGTGAGATGGCTTTAATGGCCAGTTGACATTAGTGAGATAACCCAAGTGCCACCCAAGCAAACCCTACATCAAAGTACAGGGATTAATACACTTCTTAACTGCTGAGTCCCTCCTTTAGGAAAAGGGACTGTTTCCAAGGTTATAACACTCATACTAACCACATAGGTGGTCTAGGGAGAAATTATTTTTAGTCAAAAGTTATTATTTATATGAAAATAAATAACACCAAACTATACCAAATATATGAAAATAACTAAAATATAAAAATCCCTATAACAAATATATGAAAATAACTAAAATATGGAAATCCTAACCAAAAATATGAAAATCCTTTTTATCTACTAAATGAAGGCAGAAATGCATTTTGTTATACTGACATTAGAAAAAATTTTAGTGGAACCTATTGATAATTTATAGACTATTACATTAAATTATATTAAGCTTTTATCACTCGCACAATTTAGCAAATGTTGCCAATGTGCAAAACATAAGATCTTTAATTTATCTTCCACGTGGCCTCAGAATGCTGCCATTTCAAAAAGGATAATATTTAAAATTTGTTTCAAATTTAATCTGAAAGTGGTTAAGAAATTAAGCAATTTAAAAACAATAAATGCACTTTATTTTTACAGTACATTTGGTTGATACAACTAAACTGATAATTTTTATAAACATTTACAATATTACAAGCAAAGATATTGCCAATACCATATGATGTATTTTAATAAAAAATTATTTCGTTTTTAATACTTAATGTTTACTTTTAGGAATTTTAAGGGTACTATCAAAAGAAAGCTATTAGCCAAAAAGTACTAGACAACTGAAAAACACTAAATTATTAAGCACAAACTTCTACAAGAATCTTCAATATATTTCCACTTCATTTGTATTAATTTCATCCTCTTACATGGCTTATTTTTTATATTAACCCATAATATTATATTACTTAAATGGTTATAAATATAGTGTCACAAATTTTTAAGAGACTTAAGGGCATGATCGAATGTACCAGCTTAATAAAAGTTCCAATTATACAGCATTAACAGACAGTGTTAATTAAATAACAATTTTATTTGTGTGCAAGATATTCAGGCAACCACATTATTCTAAACCAATCCTTGTAAGTTACCAGTATGAGCTGAAAGTATACAATAATAAAAAGTTCTTGCTTTGACTAATATTAAAATAATTACTATAACTTATATTCAAAGCTATACGAAAAAACAAATCAAAAAGAATCTTAAAAAAAAGTATTTTCACACAAATAAATTCAGATTGTCACATGAAAATATCTATTCATATAACAAGTACCTTCTAAAAATGATTTAAATGAGTGCTCACCAAGACGAAATTCTCATCAAGAGGGGAGTGGGAATTCCATAAAATAGTAAAAAGGAATTTATTCCAAAGGCAAATGCACAATACACAATATATAAATCACATTTAATTCAAACATACTTATTTAATATGCCTCGTTCCTTTGTAAACTTGGTATAATTCCATATGTTATGATATGGATAGAATTTGAAGAAAAGTTATCCTTCAGAATTTACTTACGGTAACGTCTGTATTCGAATCCTCAAATCACCAGGTTCTCCATCAATGTGAGGTTCACCTAATTAAAAATGCAAATAATTAATTCAAGGGAAAAACATCCTTAAAAATAGATAAAAGGAAATCAAATTTAAAAATTAGAATTTAATGCTTACCTTCCGCAACAAACTTTTGCTCTTGACCATCTTTCATACCAGGTTCAATTTCAATTTCTAAAACTTTTTCCTGATTAACATATCTTAAAATAGTAAATAAATAAATTAATGAATTAAAAAACACTTAAAATACTTACTTTAAAAATTTGACAATTTAAATATTAACATTACATTCAAGAAAAACTGTCACATTTCCATAATCAAAGAAAACTATTATGGCATATACTCATTTACAGATGGAGGATAAAATAATATGAACACCCGTGAAATAATGGAAAATCTTTATTAATAGGGGGTTGGACCACTCTTTGACTGCAGTACAGATTGAATGTGATGTAGGATAGATGCACAAAAGTCATGGACAATATTTAAAGGAATATTAAGGCATTCCTCCTGCAGAGCGGGCTCTAATTCCGAAAGTCCAGATGGAGGTGGAAATCGGGAATGAAGTTTGGACTCCAAATATGCCCACAAGTGTTCAATAATATTCAAGTCTGGAGACTGAGGGAGCCAAGCGAGATGTTCAATTACGTTGTCATGCTCTTCGAACCATTCTTGAATACACCTAGCTGTGTGGATAGGGGCGTTATCGTCTTGAAAAAGCAGTCACTCTTCAGGGAATACAGTCTGGACATGATCCCTTAGAATGCTTAGATTGGATGTGATCATTCCATGCAGAATAACAAGTGGCTCAAGACCGCACCCCATACCATAATGGTGCCACCCTCATGCTTCACAGTCGGCAAGAGGCAGTCAGGATGAAATGCTTCTTTCTTTGGACATTCTCCAGACATAAAGGCGTTCAGTCATCTGAAATAGGGTGAAGGCAGCCTTTGTGATCTCTGCACCATTGACGTCGCTTGAAAACTTTAGTTGCTCACCAAGGGTTTACGAATTGCTACTTTGCAAAAAAAATTTCGCATCATGGAGTTCCCTTTTGGCAGTTTTTGTTGAAACGGGGTCCTGGAGCTGACTGTTCATTTCGGATGTTATCTCGGATAACAATTGCTTGTACTTTCGGGCTACTATGCGCTTCAAGACCCATCTATCCCTATCAGCCAGCTTTGACTTTCGGCCACTGTTGTGCCTGAAGACATCGTCTTAACCTCTTTCGTGTATGCTATCATAACGGCTGATACCCTACTCCTTGCACCCCCCACAAGGTTTGCTGTTTCCATAACGTTTTATGCTGTTTCCATATAGAAGTTTATTTACTGATCTTGTAACAAATGCCTCAGGAAATACATAAAATTTCTGCATCAAGGTGATTACATTTCAATTCATTCAAAAATATTACTTATTTAAGTCTCTTTATGTTTCAATGAATTTAAAAAAAAATATTACCTAAATCACTTTTACTTGTGCCAAAATTAAATGTTTTCTAGGTCATAAAACTTTCAAGATTGTTAAATTGTTTAAATCTTTTGGCAGTTACCAAATTCTTCAATTGTGAAAAATTTAGCTCTCACTTGAAGGCCATTTGGTATCTTCTGTTAAGCCTAATATCACATTGCAACAGTAATTGACACTTGTTTTTCTGCATTGATATTTTATAAAAGGAACTATTTTTAATAACATTGCAGAAAGAATGTGATTCACTTTTGAAAGAAAAATTATTTTTCTTAATTTTACAAGAGAACACTTGCTCTTTTACCTTCGCAATGCCAGCAGAACATTCAACTTGGAGCTGGTTTTAGGAATTTTATGACTGAAATCATAATCATCTTTGCTTATTTCTCTTCTGAATTTATGAGCATATAAATATTTTAAAATTTGGTTGCTATAATCTTTTGATACAAATTCATTCTTTTACAAAAATAGAGTCCATTACAGTCTGCTATTTTAAATAGGTTAATCACTTTACAATAGGGAATTAGCCTTTATTTGCATCTTTTCATGAAATGAAACAAGCTAAATGGAAATGAAAAATAATTAAGCAGCTTGTCTTTATCTGCAGCTATTGTCCCATGGTCATGAGTCAAATCAGGTGGTGGAAAATAACCTTGAACTTCCTTTTTTAAAGTAACAGAATACAGCACACTTGCCAATCTAAGACACTTAAAAATCAGGAGATTTTCAAAACGATGAAGCCTTTTTAAATGATAAAAATGTATTTTTTAAAAATGAATTAACTTTAAACAAACATCCGAAAGTTCAGTTACCAATTCTTAAATGTAAACAGTAAAAAAAATACTTACTTGTAAAAAACATTTTTATTATGTGTATATTTTAACGCACAAAACAAAACAAAAAACTTTAATCAGTTTTTGTGCAAATACTATCAACAGTGGCAGATTTTGCTTGCATTAAGAAAGAAATCTCATAATTCTGTTCACAGCAATTACCACGCAGGCCGGCTTTTGCTAATAAAAGATTTTCTAATGTGTTATTACTAATGTTAGATCTAAATTTAGTCCTTGTTTTTACAGCAACACTGAAAATCCTTTTGCATTCTGCATTACTATGGGGAATTGTCAGAATGGTCAACATTATTCTAGACTATGCTTGAAAATTCCATTAGAACCTTTCAGTTTTCCAATTAAACTCTACTGGATGTTAATCCTAGCTGGTTTTATAACTTTATACAAGCTTTCCAATTGTAAACTGCAAAATGCGACCACAACTTTTCAGTTGCAATATCAATATCTCATCAATATCAATCTTTCATGACTAAATGAAGTAAAACTAGAAATCTATTCAAAAGAAATCTTATATCAGAAAAAGATGCATTTGCTACAGCAAAAACATCAGCAACTTTAGCATGCAAAATCGTTAATTGGAAATTTATTTAGTATGTAATCACATACTCAGCAGAAGTAGCTTCTAACATGCATATAAAACATATTTTTGTCTTCTTCGGAAAGTTCCTCCCCAACTTTTTCAGTTGCAACCCCCATTACCAAATCTTGATTTTTCTTCCGATTTTCTATTTCACTATAAATCACATTATACATAGAATTAGAAGACAAAACAATGACTGGTTTTACAAACTTTCATAAAATGTCTTTAAACAGATCATAAATCTTTGATTGCAAAACATGAATTAATGGAATTCGGCTTTGTAGAACTGTGTTAAGAACATCGAATGATGGCAAAATGAATTGTACACAAGAACAAAAAGCTTTGTCAAGGTCTGAAGACAAAAACATACATTTTCATTCTTCAAAAACATAAGTATTCATTCTTCACAAGATAAACGGAAAACGTTTCTTTTGTTGATCTTTTTTTTTTTTTTTATTTTGAGAGAAATTTGTATCAGCTTTACGCTTATAGTTTGTAGTATTATTTTGAGAACTGCCAGTTAAATTCCTCACTGGTGCAGAAATTACTTTGTTTTTCTCAAATCTATTTTTAACAGTTGAAGTAGTAGCTACATCTCCATTTACTTTAGGTATTTTGTAACTTTCAATAGAGACTTTTATCTTTACTCTAGAAGCATTTACTTCTTTAAAAAATGCAAGAAGTGGGTTCTATTGATCAAGGATTCTAGATAAACATTTCTTTAAAGACAGCCAGCGGGTACATACATTTCAAAATTTTTCTCATTTCAGTATTATGCATCTGTTGGAATTGTTTCAATTTTTCCTTCCTTTTAGAACTCAAGATAATAATAAATATCAACAATGTGTTTGTCAACATTTATTGGTAAAGAAGCTGCTCCTTTTTCAGCTGCTAAATTTAAGAGGTGACAGGTGCACCTCATTTGCAAATCTGAAGTTTTTTTTTTTTTTTTTTTTTTTTTTTTTTTTAAGATACCTGCAACACCAGGCTTCAAACCTATCATAACTGGTACATTATCAACATCAAATGCTAAGCAATTATCCTGAAGAATTGCATTTTCGTTTAAAATTTTAATAATTAGCTGTGCTATATTAAAGCCTGTCGAATGTCCTTCTAAGGTGGTAACAGAAAGTAAACTACACTCAGTTTCTTAAGAAACTGGATTAAAATAAGAAACAACAATTGGATATAAATTGAATTGGTATTATTGCTTCCATCTATAGAGGGGCAAAATGAAGGTGCTTTAATGCATTCACTAACTGAAGATTTATTTCTCATACCCATTTCTTTAACAAATGCAGCCATTTTGGTCCTTGTACTTGAATATTTCTTAGCAATTTTGCTATCAGGAAACATTTTCCTAAATAAAGCTACAGCATGATCCAATGCATTCAGTGGCAAATGTGCTCAAGTAAAAAAGCAGAGAACAGGCATTTAGCATTAACTTTATAGTCCTTTGTTTCCACAGTTAAATCTAATTTTTTATTTTTTTCAACAGAATTCATGTTGTCTTTGTGTTTTTTGCATATGCACGTGTTTGAGAACATCTGTCCTTCCATGATGTGAAATCGAAAAGAAAAACCGTACACATCGCAAAAGTATTACATTTCCTTGAGGAAACAGAAGGAAAGTCATTTGTGTACAATTTTTGAAAAGTACATTAGTATTTTACCTTTTTTGCAGACATAACTAACACAAAAGGTCACAATTTCTTAAACTATTTCTCAAAAGCACAAGCATTCACACCCGTCAATGACAAGATGAACGAAATAATAGCTTTGATCTTGGTTTGTGGTCATTGGCTAATATATGCCAGAAGATACACACTGGTGCTCAATGCTGATTGGAGAACCAGAACACAATGTTTTCGAAGTGGTTTCACTCACGAAGCAGAAACACATTTCTCACTGTCGAAATGAGTTTAGTTTTCTTTTAGATGTAATCTAGAGAAAAACCAAGTGACACTGTAGCCTTGGCTACTAATGTTTAAAATTAATTTATGACTAGTAACAGCATGAATTATAAAACAAATAGCTAAGTTATTGCATTTTATTTTCCAGCTATCGAAATGCGACGCTACGAGCAACGTTTTGAAACCAAAACCTAGCAATCATGAATCAGAACTAGAACTAGTTGCCATTCAGCATAAAAGAAATATAAATATGAATATTAACAAAATATTAAAGTTAATTTTATAAAATAATTAAATATATGAACAAATATATGAAATAAAAAATAATTATTTCTCATGCAATAACTGGGCCACTACAACACCCAGAATCACTTTTTTGGTGCAAAGAATGAAGTATTAAGCCAGCATACATACAAATCGTGAAAAATTTTAAGAATAACAAAAAGATGGGAGAAATCCATTGAAAATCAGGTTGGCAGGAGAACTGTTTGAAATCGGGAGAGTTGGCAACTCTGCTACAGTTAACCCTTTGTGGCACAGTGTGTCCGGCCTGGACACACCTAAAAATTTCCTTCTGTATGCACAGAAAAATTGAATGAAAAAGGATTTATAGGTTACTATAGGTTATTCTGAACCTTCTTTATTTATAGTAGATGGCAGCTGAACACAAACCAGTTCATATATTTTAGCCATGTTTAGTTTTTTAAGACCCTCATTTTTCAAAGACATCTTCCAGATTTTTTTAGGGTATAAAAGAAATTGTTTGAAAAGAAATTTCTATGTTATTTTTTTGGCTGTATGCTAATCTCCTTATTCTATATTAGTTTTAAATTTTTACCTTGAAATCTTGCCTAAAATCAAACAGCGAGCCCTAGGTGTGCCCAGACCGTGCTCACCAATAAGCTAGGACAACTGAGAGTTTGTATTCTTTATTTCTCCGCATTTCATCGGTCAGTTCATTTACAATAATGCTCGTTTCAGCACTCTTTTCGAAGCTCTATTCAATTAGTGTGCTCCCTTTGGACACACCCACAGATTTAAACGATAAGTGCTATCTTCATGAAATTTTATTTGTGTACTCCTCTAGGCCTAACTAGACTGCCTACCTTTTTTTTTTTTTAATCAAAAACTCCAGCTTTAAAAGGTAGCGTGCCAGAAAGGGTCAATGACAGTTTATTAAATGTTCTGCCTCTGCAACATTATTTCAGAAGTCATCATTTTATCAACATCAGAAGTGATGTCACAGACAAAATATAGATTGCATAAAACCTATACAAAAATCAATATTTTCTTTAATCATGCAGATTATGATGTAGCTAATATCCCCTACACATTGGATTATTAACATGAATGATGTGAATTAAGTTATGCACCCTGATTCATAAATCTGCATTATGAATAGGTATCTGCACCTTATTAAAACTCTGCACACTGCTCCCACGGGATACAAAATCCGTCTCATAATACAGGTCACATGAAAATATCATGCGCAAGTATGTTTTTTAAAATAGAAAAGGCTATTCAAATTTCTGCATTATACTAATGTTGCTTATAAAGATGTGAATAGAAATATATGAAGATAGAGAATATTAAAAAAACGCCCTGTATTTCAGAACCAGAATGTGTTCAAATCACACCATACATGGAGGGTTAGAACCTATTCCAGTGAGTTTTCCAAATGCAAGCAAAACTTATTCATGATCAAAAGAGTTAAATGAATTTCAAAATTATATCTCATACCATTATTCAAATTTTAAATTAAGCTATATTATAACCTAGTTTTATTTATGAATAACACCAAGAGAAAAAATAATTTTCACCTCATTATTTATTATCAATTTACATTATGCAAGTTTAACATTAGGTTCCTTTTTTTTAAATTTTAGATCAATATGCAGAAATATTTTGAAATCACTTATATTGCCCCCCCCAAAAAAATTATTCTACAGTAATGAAATTTCGATATACAAATTACCAAATTAACACCAATTAACCCTCATTATACCACACTTAAAAAGCAAAAATCTTCACTGAATTTTAAAAGCATTTTCATGTACTGATTATAATAATACAGTAGTTAAGAGTTTACATTCATTATGATCATACGAGGGTTGGAACTTTAATAGTGGCAACACAGCTGAAAAAACGCTATGCAACAAAACCAAAGAATATTGCGTATACCACACGTAAACTACATATCTACCTTACCTCTCAGCAAAAAGACTCGTCCTGCCTACGTCACGCGCATGCGGAGTGACGCGAAGAACGGATCCTCGTATTAGCTCGCGATCTAAAGTAAGTGTTGTCAGGATGTTTTCAAAACAAGAACAACGATGTTGGATAAAAATTTAATGTGCCAGAGGTCGTACAGCAGGACAGTGTCATCAAGGGCTTGTGGGGAATCTGCATTGCCTTACAGAACCCTAGCAAGATGGGTGAAAGCATTCAATGAAGGACGCCAAAATGTAGCAGAGATGCTGTGGCCAGGTCGTCCGAGTGTCAGAGATGCAGACGTGCAAGCTGCTGCCGCACTAATGGACAGTAATCGCCGCAAAACAATTCGTCAGCTGGCCGGACAAACAGGATTAGTGCATACGACTGTGCTGAACATTCTGAAGGAACACTTGTCCATGAGAAAAATTGCTTCACAATGGGTTCCACATCAATTGACGGAAATGCAGAAATGGCTACGATAGATGCTGCCCGAACCCACCTGGAGTGCTATGAGAGCGAAGGAGATGCTTTTTTACGCCGTATCACTATGCTGGATGAGACTTGGGCCCAATCGTACCAGCCAGAACTGAAACGCCAATCAAACGAATGGCGTCATCACGGGTCACCACAATGTTCGAAATTTCGTCGGAACCCTAGCAATGTGAAAGTTATGGAGATTCTCGTGTACGACTGTGATGATGTCATCCTAACACATACCGTCACTGCACAGTATTACTGCTCATTTTTGGAGCACAATCTCCAACCAGCTTTGAGAAAAAAACGGCGACACTTTCTGCAGAACATTCCTCTCATTTTGCATGACAATGCTCGGCCGCATGCAGTGCAAGCTGTGACTGATTTGTTCAAGCGATGGGGCTGGGAAGTGTTTTACCATACAGCATACTTCCCAGATCTAAGCCCTTGTGACTATGACTTAATTTCCTAAGATGAAAGAACCACTACGTGGCACTCGCTTCCAAACTGTTCCTGAGATTCTTGCGGCAGTAGACCGGTCCATTCAAACTATCAACAAAACAGGCACTGCTACAGGTATTCTGCGACTTCCACATCATTGGAAACGGGTTGTACACAATGCTGGTGACTATATTGAAGGACTGTAAAACATGGTGACATGAATCACTTTTGTATTCCTTGTAAATAAATAGTTGCCACTATTAAAGTTCCAACCCTCGTATGATAAAATAGAAGAGTCTCTACCTGATATTAAAAGAGGATTGATAGGCAAACTGAAGATTTATCAACATCTGGGATTGAACAATGTCACAATTAAATTATGCTGGCAGGTATGGGTCTTGAACAGCAGATTTCAGTGATAAGGAGGTATATTAAGATGTCTTAGGATAACAATAGAACAGGAAAGATATAATGATCATAATAACATCTGTAATAAAATTGGATTTGTTACTTCAGACATCCAATACACGATTAGTGCTGAAAAGATTAGCTGGATCATCAATAGTTAACTATTAGAACAGAATCTAAGCTCATGGCTTCCATTATGCTGCCTGCAGCTGACCCATATGAGGTACTGGAAACAAATATAGTGGTACCTAAGCCTGATCAATGCGGAATTATTCTAAAGGGAGTCAATCTCTTCAGGGATTAAACTTAGCCCATAGTTGAAGACTATATGGTGAGAGATCCCTCGGAATATCATCCACCAGCATTATGAATCGATGTAAATCAGGTAGGCATAACTTATTTCAAGATGAGACTTTCACAATTAGATTTACGGTTTGGTTATTTAAAAAAAAAAAAAAACTTTGTAAAAGATATTTTTCTTACTTAACATTTGGACACTCATCACATACAGTCTGCTGAGTCATTTGGAATCTGCCAGGGCCTAACTGTCTAGTAACCATTTCTTGTCGACAATTACATTGTCTGGTACCTTTAGCTGGCTGCATAACTGGTTTGTTACGAACAACCTAAGTACAAAAAAAAAAAAAAAAAAAAAAAATATTCAGAATAAATAAATAAATTTACAGAATCTAAATAAATTTATAAATTTACAGAATATAGTGAGAGAATACACTGCAAAGATTTGGAGTGCGTGAAAGAAATACACAAAAAATTGAAATTTTTCAATCGGGAAATGACAGTTTGTGGCAAAATGAAAAGGTTCAGGGCATTTAAAGAAAACAAATTATATATTTCTCAAAATACACTAAAACTTTTCATTTGAAATTTATGTAAGAAAATACTTCAATAAAACATGTCTGTAATATAATCTATTTAAAATAATCATATATTATTTTGAATTAATAGTCTTTTCTGGAGCAAACAGTTTGGATACTTTTCTGTTAAAGCCATATTATTGGCATCTTTGCCAGGGGTGTTCCTATGTGACAGGCATCATGAATTCAATTAGGCTATTTTCTGGACGATAACTGTCTTTACATCCATCACTCCTGCAACCACATTTTGCATCTAATAATTTATTATTATATATTTCAATGAATTTTATGACTTTAGAAAATAAAACCACCTCAAGAAATTAGAACAAGATTAGAACGTGATGGCTATGTTGCTTTCTTTGAACTACGAACAAGATATCTGAACATAAATGGAATTTGTTGGATCACACATTTATTTTCCTACTGCCATACAGGTTATTTGCATCTGGTGGAGTTAATATCCGAAGAGTTTTCTGTGAGCCAAAGATTCAAATGAATCACACACAAAAATCAATTAGTATAATTACATAAGCAAAGTGTGCACCAATTCCTTATCTTGTCTTAATGTTTAAATCAATGAACCAACCAAAACTGTGGAAACTGGTGAAAACTTATTTGACAGGAAGGAGAATGCCATGTTCTTTCCCCTCAATGGGTTTTTGAAGAGTTTTATAAAATTAGACAATGTTCTTTGTTTGTGTTCTTGATACTTCCATTTCATCTAAAAACAAGCATGGGAAAAGAAGCCAAAATGTGCTAATGTGGCCACAAAAATGTGAGGTATAGCTTTAATGGAAAAGTACAGTATCCTTAAAGGTATTTATTAGTATTATTAAGGTGTAAAAGGGCACTATACAACTGCACTTTCCAGTGTTTGATATATACAATGCTAGATCTTCTAAGCTCAATACACAAAACAGTGTCCAAATTGAAGCAGCCTATAGATTACTGCATGCCATTCTTTTAACCTGACAATCTACTTGAACAGACGTTCACTAGTGGTTATTGCTTGCTGTAATGTAAGATTGCCACTATACTAATTATACTGTAATCTGTCACTATATTGTAATCTAAGTTGTCACTATCTAATCCTGGGCATTGTTTTTGGCAATGATTTAGTAACAAATAGATTTAACTATCCTCAAGAAAATGCCCAATTAATATGCATCTAACAACTGAAGGAGGATTTCTATTCTCTAGCTATATGTAAAATTACTAAAAGTTTATATATATATATATATATAAATTTGTATCAGCCAATAGACTCTTTTATACGCATGTATATATATAATTCTCCTGTACTATATTTTCAGCATGCAGACTTAAAGAAAATGTTTTCATCTAACAAGGGGGATGAATTCACCATTCTTAATCTACTAAATACACAAGTCCTATTAATATTACTTTTATAGCTTAAAAAAATCAACATGTAAGCAATATTTACAGCAGATGACATAACTAAGTTATTTGAAGCATTAGAATCAGCAATTTCTGAAACAATAGCTTTAAATATTCAAATATTTTAACACTTACTGTAAGTATTACAGGACTGAATATAAATGTGAACATTTAACATTAAAAATTCAGACTATACTTCAACAAAATTCCCAGAATACAGTTCTTCTAAAGTAACCCAAAGGTCCATGATCACATCACCACCTCGAGGAATTTCTCTTGCTCCTGTTCGGCTGCCACCAGTAAAAAAACCAAAATCGCCAAAGAAACTGAAATTAAAAAGTTATTTTTTTTTATGTTGAAAATCCATAATGATATTTTTAGACATTAAAAAATAACATAGAATGTTCAATACCATTAACGATAAAAATTGTAAAGTATTAAAAATGGTTAGATGTTTAAAATGCTTAATGCTTCTATAATAAAACCTATATATCTAAGAATTTATGCCACTTCACATTTTAATTTAAAGTACTAAATATAATAAAAACAAAATGCCTACAATATATTGCTAAAAACAAACTTTGTTCAAAATCACACATCTAAGAAAAATTATTCCACAGCATTAAATAATATGTTAACTCTTAGTTAAACATAAAAGTGATAAAAATTAATATAAATAAAAGGTCTAAAGCACATACTAACTCCTGTATAGATTCAGACTGTTTATATAGTATTATTATATACAACAACAAATAAAAATGCCCTGAACAATGATATAATTCACACAACATTGGTATATATGACAGACACAGAGGCCACTAAATGTTGTACCACTGCCTCAAGGAAAGCAGAGCAATCACGTCAATTAGCACAATGGCCAAAGCAATAATGCAATTACAGTGTTATTACTGATAGTTCCAGAAGGAATCAATAACTATCAAGATAGTAAAAGAAGGCACAGGATGACAACTTATGGAATTTTACTTCCTTGTACGAAGTAAAGGAAGTATTGTAGTCAAGAAAACTTCCGGGACCATATTTCAACAAAAATATCTATTTTGACAGCTATCGAATGTAATTTAACGATGTTTTTCGTGACATCTGTGCATAAGGACTTTTTCACAAAGCAGGTTGCAAATAGGATTTAAAATGCATTCAGAGGAGATTTTTTTCGTGGCGTCTGTAAGTATGTGCACATAACTCAAAAATTAATAGCCTCAGAACACCAAAATTTTGTATATAGGACTGGTATAGCATTTAGTTGTGCACCTCTCTTTTTGGTGTCAAATGGCCACACCAAAAGTATATAAATATATATACACATTCTGTTACATGGCTCAATGAGCTCAGTATTTTTTTATTATCATATGTTGGTAAATTGTGCATTTTTTCATTTAAAAATGATTGAACTATGTTGTTCTTATCTTCCAAAAGTTTTCATGCCTTTAGTTAATCTGTATGCAATTAATTGTAGAATTATCAACAATTTAAAAGTTGTTTAAATGCAGATAAGTCTAATTTTTTCTCCCCCCCCTCATAGCAACCATATTTGTTTACATTTCAAACTTAGCAGAACAATGAATTAAGTCTTTCTGCACCTTCAGTGTCTTTTTGCCCATGGGACCCAAAAAAACTTTCAGTTTTGTGCACCGAAAAATATGGTTTCTTGCGTATTGGCCAAATTGCTTGTTTTTGCATAGAAACCGAAATTTTAATTGTTTTAACTGTATTTGGTGTTTTATGTTCTTCTAAATCTTTAAATTTTTATTGAAAATATTTCGAGGCTTTGCATATTTTTGCCTTGCTGCAAAGTGAGAACTGAATTAATTGAATGAGAAATCTATCTCATAAAATCCGAGGATGTACATTTAAATGAAATGCAGGGAAAAATACATATAATGTAATATTCTACACAAGGAAGTCATGTGATCACACATCAGATTTTTAATTCCTTGATTTCAACAGTAATGCAAATCTGATATCATGATCTAAAAGCTTGGAATATGTCACCCTGAAATTATAATGCGTTCTGCCACGAATCAGGTTTTTATTTAACTTCAATACTTGTAGCGAAAACCAGACTAATACTACTCAACTCATATTTTTGTAGAGCAACTTACCTGGCATTACCATTTTGGAAGTTATCACCTATCATACCTGATCACTTTTATTGATCTTTCATAACACTTCAACAGTTCAGTGACAAACTGATGACATCTTTCAAACTGTTGCATTGCCAACAATTTTACATTTGTTGAAAAGTAACTTATAGCAAAGTAATTCCTCTGTCAGCACACAGGAAATGTTATCAAATGAGTACCTATGTAACGTTACAGATCAGCCTTAGACCATTAGATCTCTAGAATTTCTCTCAATCAAGCACGTACCGATTCTATTAGAAAGACAGTTCCAGCAATGTGTATCAACTTGATGGGCAATTACATAATATCAAATTCCATTTGACATTCATACAAGTCCATACACGGTTGGATATCTTATGCATTACCACTAGATGACACGGCTACAGATTATATCAGTATATAACAGTTTTAGATTTATATTACTATCACAGACTGCTAGGTAGTTAAGTTTTATGTTCTTCATAATTAATAAATTGTTCTAGGCATGCAGATACTTTTGACATAGTGTGATATGGTAATGTAATTAAAGAAAAATTAGAGCTAAGCATTGGAATTAAAAACTTGTATTTCAATAAAACTCAACCGATAATTTCAAATAATGTAAAATACTGGAAAATTAGGTTTTTTTTTTTTTTTTTTTTTTTTTTTGAGGGGGGTGATTTTTTAAAAATCAGTTCACTTTTTTCTCAACTACTGCCTAGTTTATTTCAAGGTTTTGAAAAGAAGAAGTATCTTCAAAATCACAATGTTTATGTAGATTACAGTACTCTTTGTTCTCTTAAAACAAGAATTATCTGAATATATTAACCCTCTGAGCAGCCAGGGTTTTTGCTAAGAAAGCAAAAATTTCCCAAAGCTACAATGAGAACAACTTATTTTTTTGATTTTAATGCAAAAACTCTCCTGGTATTTCATTCTTGGATTGGTTTTCTTTTGATATATTGCCTTAATTTCATAGACATATTTTAATATGCACGTATATATACGTTCTTACAGATATTGCAATAAATATTCTAGGCCGTATATATATGGCCTTGCCGGTTAGAGGGTTAATTAGGTGATCGATTTTTTACCATATTCTTAGATTACATAAAACTTAATATTTAATCTTTTATAAAACAGTATTAACAGTATCATAAAAGTACAATAGCATTGAGTATTAACATAAATAATATCCAGCAGATTAAAAACGATTGAACTTTAGATTTCGAGATTTCAAAATTCAATATTTTACAAACTTAATGGTTTAGTTTATTTACTTATGGCAAAGTACACGAGGGCGGTCTGCCTAAGGGGAAGTATGCCTTTGTGAAAAATTTTCTAAGAGAAACTGGCTCGAATACATATAACGCTTTTATAAGCTTAATAGCATATATATTTATACTGCTTTTTTGTTGAAAAATAATTTATACAGAATTACAATTTTTAATTAAAAATAAAAAATTATCAAACATAGCTGCAATTTTATATATAAAACATATTTTGAACTCTTATTTACCTAGCAAATGGATCACTTCCTCCTCCAAATGCATCATTTTTTAATCCTTCTTCACCAAACTGATCATAAGTTCTCCTTTTTTCTTCATCCGATAAAACCTGAAAAAAATATTTGTAGTCATTCATTGTGTTACATTTTAAAACAATTTTGCAAGGTTCAATGAGCATTAGGATTTTAGGTTAGAGTAGATTGAAGGGTGCCCCTTGGATTATCGCTAAGTTCTTGTTTCATTTATGGTTACTTTAGTAGTTGAATGTTATGGAAACCCTATTATGACATAATCGGTTGTGTGATTGAGATAAATTTTGAATGATGAGAAAAGATTTGTAAGGGCTTGTTGTGTGTGTTGGTTAGGAAGTACATTGCTTGTTTTGTGGTTTAGACAGTAGAATGGCTGAATATGGTAAAATTAATGTGAAGTTTCTATACAATTTGAAACGAAAGGGGAAAAGAGCATTAATTGACTGGTAGTTTACTTAGTAGCCATTATAAATGTCCTGTTTGTAGGAAGGAAATGCATATAGTTGAACGTCATAGGATACCGGCACCTACGGAGGATATTTTTAAATCTTATTTTTGTGAATTTATGTGGCGACACCGATATACGGATTCTATTCAGATAATTTTAGGAAGTTTTTGGATGCTGTTAAGGAATTTCGTGTGCCACAGACTGAAGACGAAGTAATTTCTAAATAAGGTAAGTGATTATTTGTTTTGTGTAGTGCTTAGATGCATTTTCTTTTTAAGTTACTTTATCATTTGATTTAAAATACAGTTTACTGAGATTGCATATTTTTTGTTTGGCTCTACTATAGAATTGAGTGCTCTTTCGACTTTTTAAGTAAAAATAGATCGATGTGTACATGGACAACGTCAAGGGAGTGCGCAATGCCTAGTTTGTGCAATTCTTTGACTTGTTATTTTGTCTTTGTGTAGCAGCGTTTTTTGCGCGAAAAATTGGTGCTAAACAAAGCCAAAGAAAGAATTGCACAAGCTTGGTATCCATGCACTGCCAAAAATCATTAGTTTTCGCCAAAGGGCACCCCTAACTATATTTTTACAGGATTTTTTTTTAACTCAAAATAATGACAGATTAACTTTCTTATTACAAAAATTTTGAATTAGGTTTAATATTTAAAAATTCAATTAACTAAACATAAATTCTATAAAGTAAAAAAAAAAAAAAAAAAAAAAAAAACAGTACTTACGTATTGTATTATCGCAACCAGGTTGACGCTATTCGTAAGTTTTGACGCTATTTGTAAGTTTAGGTAAAAAAGTATGAATAGAAAGAAAATGAACATTTATTAATTACAGATAATTTTTAATACAGTTTTTTATATTATTTTCTTTTAAAATATAAAATAGCAATTAAACCCTTCAGATTTCGAATTTGAATAAGTTGCAGAATTATTTTTTTGGCGGAAATCTTTTGGCTATTGCTTTTAGCACTGATTAAAAACCGTATTCGCCATAGCCATGTACACGTCGACTTATTTTTACATAAAAAAACATCCCAGAATTGCACAAAAATGGCATTGTGCAAAAATTTCCCAAAGCTACAATGAGAACAACTTATTTTTTTTTATTTTAATGCAAAAACTCTCCTGGTATTTCATACTTGGATTGGTTTTCTTTTGATATATTGCCTTAATTTCGTCGACATATTTTAATATGCACGTATATATACGTTCTTACAGATATCGCAATAAATATTCTAGGCCGTATATATATGGCCTTGCCGGTTAGAGGGTTAATTAGGTGATCGATTTTTTACCATATTCTTAGATTACATAAAACTTAATATTTAATCTTTTATAAAACAGTATTAACAGTATCATAAAAGTACAATAGCATCTTCACTTTATCCATGTACACTGCTATTTTCTCATAAATTACAAAAATTTGCTCGAAAATGCAGGAAAAAATTGTGAATCTCCACATGCTCTTTTTACAAAACTATAACACGTATAACACGTAGGGTTGCCGTAAATAGGGTTGCCAAATTTCGCAATTTATGCGAATTTTGACCTGGTTGCGATAATACGTAAGTACCAAAAAAACTTCAGAATTTCTCTAAAAGTCATTTTTGTGAAATAAAATTACGAGTTTTCAAATATATATAACATAAAGCATCATTAAAAATAAAATTAAATTGGAATCAAGATGAGGCAGTTCCCTATTAATATTAATAATTGAATCTGTGGAAAAAAGTTTACATTGTAACTAAACAAAATAAAAATTAGTAGAGTTCATCACTAGAATAAACTGAAAAAATAAAAAAGCAAATTGATTAAAAGTTTCATAAAAGTAAATTAATGCGTCTCGAATACATTGATTCAATCAAATTTTCAAAAATACATTAAAATCGAAAGACCAAATCTCAAATGTTTCCAGAATTTTAACCTTCTGAATTTAATTCAAAATTTAATCTTTGTCACAAAATTGCCAAAGATACATTGCTAATTAAAAACAAAAGACCAAATCTCAAATGTATTCAGAATTTTCCCTACATGAATTTAATCACTTCGAAGAAAGAGGAAATGAATAAAGAATACTACATTATGCAAAACTGACTACTCTAAAAAACAAAATTGCCAAAGATACATTAAAATGCAAAAAGGCTTTGAAAAGAAATTACAAATTAAAGAGCACGAATAAACTTTTAAATCAAATTGTCATTTAAACAAAATTCAAAGAATGGGTGGTCCCCAATTATGTGAATCTTATACATCCAATATACTGAAAAAATGATAAACTTTTCTAAAAAGAATTCTATAAATAAATTGTACTTAAATTTCTAAACCGAGCATTAAACAACTAAAAACTTCGTAGAAAACAAAAATATTGAACAAAGCATAAACTTACTGAATTTCTTAAAAAGACCACCATTTTCCAAACTGTGGACTAGTGCAAAAGAAAGTAGAATTCAAAGCTATTCTTGAAGATGTAGAAAAGTTGAACAACTTCTTGGTAAAAGTACGATATAATTATCTAAATGTCCAATAATAGGATTTTTATGCGTGTTCAATATGCCCTATCCCATTAAACTTTGTGCAAGGGAGGGTTCTGTGAAAAGTACAAATGACAAAGAAGGAGCGTGGCAATGCAACATGAGGGAGCAGAAGAAACTTTTATAAAAGATAATGGCTACTGTACAATCCTAGCCTTGTCTTGTCTTAATTCTAATTTAATTTTATTTTTAATTTTGGATGTTTTATATTTAATTTATCTCAATCCTGTAGCTATAGCACAGGATAGGTTAAATTTCTACTTTTGGCATATTACGTTTTCTTTATATATATAAAAATATATATAAATTATGTATTTGTGTGTGTGTGTGAGAGAGAGAGAGTGTGCAGTTAGAAGATAAAAATACATGTTCACGTATGATGATATATAAATAAAATAACATTTGCATATGGTTGCTTTTAGAACACCAATTCAGAACAATTGTTACATGTCTTCTTACAGTATTTACATACCATAGGAAGAAATAAATCTAAAGGCCAATTGATAAGTGTGTTAAACTATAAGCACAAGATTAATCCCAATTTTGCTAGTTCTTTTTTCATCTATTTTATATAAAATTCCAAATCATGCCTTTTTAAGAGAAATAAGATGTTAACAATAAAAAGATAACAGGGAAAAAAATTCAATATATTTCTTAAAGGTTTCAAAACAAATAATTACTTCATAGGCAGCACCTAGATCTTGAAATTTTTCTTGTGCATGGGGATTATCGGGATTCTTATCAGGATGTAATTCTTTTGCTAACTTCCTATAAGCTTTCTTTATTTGATTTAATGTAGCAGATCTTGGAACACCCAATATGGAGTAGAAATCTCGGCTATGAGTAATAAAATGCATTTAAATATCTGAAGCATTTTAGATTAGCATCAAATTAATACAGAATATGGAAGAAATAAATATTATAATAACTATATATATTCTAGGAAACAAAATGAAAAAAAATTCGGTACTTTTCCGTTTTGCCGGTGCAGGTGATAAGTCGCCAATAATGGTACAACTGATGTCAAACGGAATATCCTCGCTGGTAACCTTTTACGCCTCATTTCAAAACAAATCACAGCCATTTCTTATCAAATTGATGGTTTCTTTCACTATTAGCATACAATTACATAGAATTTTTACCAGAGAATTCAGTTTTGTGCCCTAAGGTCATTTGAGCTAATTAAGTCGACTAGGGTGCAATCACACTGCTCACCCGAAGGCAAAAATATAGAAAAGGCAAAGTCAAGGGTTAAATTCATCAAATCTAATAAGAATGCACTAGCGAAGTATAGCTGTGCGGTTTTACATAATTTCTGAGTAAGCTATTCGTACGAATTGAAATAATTCTTGCATTTAAACTTGTATTCCAAATTAAGATTTAACTTGAAATTAATGTAGATAATTACTGAGAGAATTAGATTTTTGTAGCGTAGTTTACGTGAGATAAGATCACTTGGGGTCACGTGAATCAGGACGTTGTACCATGAAAGCATTGTAAATTCTTAAATTAATGACTTTTTACAAATTTATTGGCTTTTTATAAAATTTAAACGATATTAAAATGTTTATGCCCTCAAAATAAAAGATTCTTAGAACCAACATTTGTTAACATTTTATATGTGTATGCTATGTGTTGTCGCCAATAAAGTCTGCTTGGAGAGATTTGCGCCGGCGAAACGGAAAAGTGCCAAAAATTCTTACATATATCTGTTTCCATTATTTTATCAAATAAAATAGATGTTTATCATATCACCATATCTTGTTCATTCGCACTTAAGCAGCTGAGGAAGCTGGTTCTGTAGTTAAACCATTATAACTAGTCCTGCAAAGTTTACAAATCTTACGCTGATTCTTGTTGTTTGACTTCTCCAACATGTAAAACTCTTCACCTGAACATGTTTTCATAATTAAAACTACTTTTCTCTAAACACTGCGAAAAACCAACACCGAAAGATATTTTGACTTTTCTTCCTTTCTAATAAAAATTAAAATCTTACTCGGATTTTTCTTAATCAAAAATGCAAGTTTCAAAAAAACAAGTGGTATAAAGCAAATCTTTGTAAACTGGATATATATGTATGACTTTATTTTTCTATAATTGATATTAAATAATTTTACATTTTAAAATCTAATCAAAATTACACCTTAAGTAGCATTATATTAAGATGTCCATTATTACAACAAATTACATGAAAACTATCTGCTTAGAGCAAGATGCTTTTGTATAGGAATTCTGATTAAAAAACACCTTACAACTGAAAATGCATATTATAATGCATAAAAATTTTATACATTTTTTAGATAACCTTAGGTACTCTGATCACAACAGACTCAATATTAAAATTATAGCAAGCATAAAAATTGGAAAGAATCATTTCACATTATCAAAGAAAAAATATCCCATCTCCTATTAACCAAGATCAAATAAACACACTTAATAGTTAATATACATACTAGGCATTTTAAAATCTTCACAAAAATACAAAACAACTATGGGATACACTTGTTACAAACATACTTATTTGCTTTACTGAAAAATAGGTACTTAAGTATTAACAAAGTAGGATTTGCTATCTTTGGGCAGTAATTTGATACAATTAGTTTTTCTTTACTTCAAGTGCAAAATGTTTAGCAACCACTTTTAAAATGGCTCTGAAGTATTTTTTTACCCTGAACTACAAATTTCTTCCACCATATAAACTTCACTAAGTACGACTTCATTTGCAGAGTCTTGCACTATATTGTTTGTTCCACCACTCTGAAGAATACCATACCCACTTGAAATTTTCCATATGAACTCCAGAATGTAAGCCAACAAAAATGAATTTCTGATTCACTTTGAAAAGCTCGAAACAGCTTTTTGGAATTCTGTTTTATATGCTACCCATAAGTCAGAATAAATGGTTATACCTTTTTTGATATTTTCTTTTGACTGCATTTAAAAAAGTCATGGCTTTACAGTCAGACACTGTAATGAGAAAGGTTTCTTTATTTTCCTGGTAAATACTGCCTAAAATACACTGAGGCAGAAGAATGTAGGTAGGTAGCTTACCACTGAGGTTATAGCCAATGTATTTTTTTTTTTTTTTTTTTTCTTTTCAAGAACAGGTTTTCAACAATCTTGATGATTAAACCTTCAGCACTTTTTTACTTTCATAACTCTCAAGGTCATCTTGTGGATTCGTATTTCTCTCAAATAATTGTTGCAGTCTATAACAGTAGTATGAGCAATGTTGAGTTCTTCCCTATCAAATTTTATTGATGTCATTTCCTTAGACCAACAGCAGATAAATTTCGCGGCAGTAACAAATGGCAATCTACTTGCTGCAAACCAGAGGCCAACGCACATTCTTACCGATTCCATGTCTTTCGAACATCACCATGCACTCTTCGATCGACTTGAATAAAACTTAATTTTGTGCAAACTGGAATGCTGATGGCTACTTGACAATATATTGTACGCTTATAGGAAACTAATAGTAGTAACCTCACTTTTTGGTAGATCCCACAAACCCACGATCGAACTACAAATGCTGGGGAAAAAAACTTGGTTCTTAAATTGCTGCTTATAGGTATTTCGTAAAACTGAGCAATGTCATATGATATTGGTAACTATTCACTCTTTTTAGCAAATTTTGGCTTTTTATCTGTCAATGCATTAGTACCCAAAAATTGAGTTTTGATTAAACAATATCCAAGAACACTACTAGTCTGACCTAACACTATGAGAAACGATTCAAGAACACCTTATTAGTCTGTGAGGTTTGTCTATTTATTTTTAACTAATAGTTCTTTTTAAGACAGCTCCTATTACTCTCTTTTCATGCCAGAATGTAAATGAGACAGCGAGCATTTATTCACAAGAGTTTCAGAAGTTAGTTTTAGAGCGTGGCTTGCCTCTTCCAGGCCATGTTGTACTGTGATTATTAGAGACTTGATTTAGTGACATCAAGTGCTTCTAGCCATTTGGCTTTATCTCAGTGATTTTCTACAAATAGGAGTCTTGTCTGGACATTAAATTACCCTGCAAGCCGTTGGGTTATTCTACCCCATTTTGAATTTTTTCAACATTTCATACTTCTGTTTAGCCAGAAGTGCTTGGCTTGTGTAAACCCAAGTTGGATAACTGTCCAGTTTGAATAAAAGTCCTTTTTCTGTCGTTTGTTTCACAAGGCTAGAAGATAATTCTTTAATAGTCCTTTTAAAGATGACAGTGTATGCTCTCAAAGAGACATAGCCTTTATTATAACTAATAAATCAATTAAGTTACTGATAAGTCAATTATTTATAACTGATAAATAATCAGTCATGCACTTTCTTGTCGACACAGGTGCAGATATTTTTGCTGTACCTCGCTGTGACTGTGCAATTCTCTCTCTCTCTCTCTTTTTTTTTTTTTTCCTGAAGTTACAAAAATCATCGTATATGTGGATTCTTGTCTAATATTTTTGGTTAGAAACTTTTTCAGATTTTTGGCATAAATTCTCTGTTAAAAACGTGTTTTTTTGCCCACATTTTAAGTTTAAAGTTTAAAATGTAGACAAAAAATTTAGATAGTAATATGGCACCATGGAGTTTCTCGCCAAAAATTCTCAACAAGAAATTTGTAGACAACCAAGGCCATGTATAAGAATAGTTCCAAAATACTAGTTTAAATTTAACAGAGATGGTCCATAAGTACAAGTGATACTGCAACAAATCGATGACTTTATCTTATCACATTCTTCACACAAACAAATTGAATTGCCCATTGGGACTGCACCAAATAAATTTCCATTGTGGAGAAGGACAAACTTCAAGCTCTGCTATGAGTTATAGATGAAAAATCATGTAGTTGCATTATAGGCTGAAATTCCCAACTCTTCTATTAAACCATGCACTTTATGGCAATGCTACGAAGACGTACCTAGACAATGCTAAGAAGCTGTGGGTTTAGCACAAAATGCTACTTATCAGAGATGTCCAATACCTGAGAAACTCAACCTTAAGAAGAAGGATACCACCATTCAGCAGAAAGTTATATGCTTATTACTTTAGTAGTATAAAAGCATAAAACGTTACATTATAAATGAGCCATACAATCTAGACAAATTATAAAATTCTGCATTTAATGTAAATTTTTGGAGACACTAAGACTTATTCATCATTCAACAATGGATTAATCTCACTTTTTATTCAGCCACAAGTTTTTCAACATATGAATGTGATGGCCTTTAATAAAAATAAATTTTAGAGTACGTTTACCGGTATATTTAAAAGTATATTTTAGGGTACCCCTTGGCAAAACTCGGCGATTTTTGGCGGTACATGGATACCGATTTTGTGCAAGTCTTTGACTCGTTATTTTGGCTTGCGAAGCGACGATTTCACAAAGCCAAAATAACAAGACAAACAATTGCACAAACTCGGTATTCATGAACACAATGACTTATTTTTACTTAAAAAAAAATCCCCGAATTGCACAAAAATGACATTGTGCACTCCTTCGACTTTATTTATGTACACGTCGACCTATTTTCACTTTAAAAAAAATTCCCAAATTGCACAATAATGGCATTGCACACTCTTTTAACTTTATCCATGGACAGGTCGACCTATTTTCACTTTAAAAAAAAAATCCCCGAATTTCACAAAAATGGCATTGCACACTTTTTTAACTTTATCCATGTACACATCGACCTATTTTCACTTAAAAAAACAATCCCAGAATGGCACAAACTTGCATTGCGCACTCCCTTTACTTTGTCCATGTACACATCGATATATTTTCATTTAAAAAGTCAAAGGAGCACCAAATTCTACAATATAGGAAAACAAAAAATACATAAGTTCAATAAAATACATTTTAAAACAAACAATAAAATAACATAAACAAGGAAAAACATGTCATACAAGCACTACCAAAAGCAAATATTCACTTACCGTGATTTTCGAGTTCGCTTCGTACCCCCAGAGCCACGTAAAAATTAAAATATCAATCATACTCAAATGACTTTTTTCAAACCAGGGTACTCTTTCTGATCGAACGCTTCACATAGTGACCATCTGAACCTTTCTTCCTACAAACCCATTCAAATCGAACGGTTTTTACGTTCGACTAGACGCATATCCTTCCTACATACAAAACACTTATAATGACTACTAAGTAAACCTTCATTTACACACCAGTCAATTAAAGCTCTTTTCCCCTTTCGCTCTATATCATACAGAAACTTCAAATTAATCTTACTACATTCGGCCATTCTACCGTCTAAAGAATCAAACCAACACACACCACAAAAACGCTTACAAAACATCCCACGATAGAAAATTTCCCAGAATCATGCACCCGATTACGTCACAATAGGTTTTCCATAACATTCAACTACTCAGACTACCATAAATGAAACAACTTGGCAATAAATCAAACAGCAACTTCGCCATAATACAAGTGGTACCTGAAAGTCTACTCTACCCCATTTACCTATTCCTCTTTTAAGATACATTAGAAAGATACAATAAAGGCACATAAAGTTAAATAAAGAGGTTAGACATCTAAACGCATCTTTTAAAATACTAAAATCTTGATAAATAGATAAAAAGATGCAAATTTTCCTCCCCCCTCCCACCTAAAAAAACAAAAATAAAAATGGTGACAATTTATGATTTATAAGACGAATTTGTAACTGTTCAAAACTTAATATTCAGGTAGAAATGCAAAGTTGTGACAACATAGTAAAATTAACTAGCAAAATACGAACCTTCACTTTTAAAAGACATACATAATGTATAGCAATATATATAAAAAAAGAAAAATAACTGAAACAATGACCTAAGAAATACTTAAGAAGTAAAGAAAAATTTATATTAAATATTCAATTACTAGGCAGTGTATGAAAAAATTGGCAGAAGAGAATGCAATGCATCTAATACAAAATACGTGAACAGCATTAAAAGGTACAGTGTTTAAAACTTACCCACCCAGCACCGGCGTTATAAACAACAATAAATTTACAACAGTAAAAAATTTTAGGGAGAAAGCACTGTTCAACTCCATTCTCAGCTGGTCAACATGCCTTTACCGCGGTACATCAGGTTACGGGTTGCAACCAGAGTTGTTATAACACGTCAGGTTTCTTTAAACTTCTCAGACGTCAGAATAGAATAGAAAAATTTTGTTGTTTGTTTGTTGCTGCACGTTTGAAAGCAACTCATCTTCACACATAAATCATAACGTACCACAAATTAAAATAAATTTGAAATATATAGTTAAAAAATATTTATTTTAAAATTAACCACAAAGTTAAAAAGCCACTGCAGAATATCCAAATAAATACGTGAAACTTTGAATTTAAATCTTATATAAAATTTAACTTTAATTCAAATTTCAGTTTTGAAATTATAAAAAATATTATGTTGCGTGTCAAATAAAAATTTTTAATGTTTAATTTTTAGAAACGTTAGCACATTTAATTTTTGCAGTTCATTAAAAGAAGACGAAAAGAATGGTATACTGGCATGAATATTGACAGAGTGTATTCCCTTAAAAAACACAAATTGAATTTCCTAAAATTATGATACACATATATATATATATAGAGAGAGAGAGAGAGAGAGAAAGAAAACAGTTCTGAATAAAATTTTATGACAGTGACCAAAAAACAAAAATATTTTAGTATAACTGTAACTGCTAATAATACTGCAAGAGAGTAAAGCCAAAAATGGTAACCTTGCCACATAGTACCCAATAAGAAAGAAGGATTTCGTGGTTACTTTCCCGTATAACGCATGATTTGCGTTTTTGAGAATGAATTGTAATCAAAACAGTTCTATTTGTCGAGTAAAGGAGAATTAAGAGAAAAAGTGTTATTTAATACTTAGTTAAAGTCGAAGTGATCAGTGTGTTGCAAGTAGTTTTTATGGGAATAATAACAGCTTGTGAATGTAAGAGTAAGCATATTTATTGTATGAATTTATATGAATAGGTAAATTTATATTTGGAGAATATCTAAAAATTTTATTTGTAAAATGTGAGAAGGCCATTCCGGGTGTTACTGTCTGTATCTGCGAAACATTGGTAGTTTCTTCCTTTGTTTATAACCTGGCGACAAAGAGGTCCAGTAGCATCATGTTTTGTGTTTTTTCTATAATGTGTGATGTAAATACGATCGCTTTTCTTAAAATTTCCGCCACAAAACCATCTCATCCTTTAAACACTTAACAGTTGAGTGCTTTACATCGGTTAATTAAGGAATCGTGATGCCAAAAAATGGGCTAATACCCCCAAATGGCCTTGTTTCTATGCAAGTTTGGTACATTATGTTATAGCTAGGTACCTAAATTAAAATAAATAACAAATGTATATTTTCTGTTCTGAAATCTGCTGAAAAGAATAAAAATCGCATCACCTTTTTGATCTGTATTTGCAGATTTCAGATTTTTTTTTAAAGTTCTGTTGTATAGTTTTCTAAATTTTTCCATTATTCATAATCTAGTAATAATAGAAACTATTTATTTATTTTCATTTTTCTTCTAAACTATACATTTTATGATAGAAATGTATATTCAAGGAAAAGTGAACTAATCTGTGAGTTGTTCATTGTATTGTATATTATAGTTGTAAAAAACAGCTGTATTTGAAATATGGGTAAAAGTATATTTTAGGGTACCCCTTGGGTTTTTTGGCGGTACATGGATACCAAGTTTGTGCAATTCTTTGACTTATTATTTTGGCTCGCATAACTGCGATTTTTGCAGCAAAAATCGCCGCTACCCAAAGACAAAATTGCACAAACTTGGTATCCATGTACACATTTATGCATGTATTCATGTCTTATTTTCACTTTAAAAAAAAATATCCCTGAATTGCACAAAACTGGCATTGTGCACTCCCTTGTTTTTATCCATGTATACGCCAACCTATTTTCACATAAAAAAAAAAATCCAAGAATTGCACAAACTTGCATAGCACACTCCCTTCACTTTGTCCATGCACATATCGATATATTTTCACTTAAAAAGTCAAAGCACCCAGTTCTACAATACAGGCAAACAAAAAATACATAATCTCAATAAACTACATTTTAAACCAAACAATAAAATAACATAAAAAAGGAAAAACATGTTATACATTTAAGCACTACAAAAAGCAAATATCCATTTACCCTATTTAGAAGTTCCTTCATCTTTAGTCTGTGGCACACAAAATTCCTTAACAACATCCAAAAACTTCCTAAAATTATCTGAACTCAAATCCGTATATCGGCATCGCCACATCTGAACCTTTCTTCGTACAAACCCATCTAAAAGGGTTTTACGTTCGACTAGACACACATCCTTCCTACATACAGGACACTTATAATGGCTACATAAGTAAACCTTCATTTACACAACAGTCAATTAACGCTCTTTTCCCCTTTCATTCCAAATTGTACAGAAACTTCAAATTAATCTTACTACATTCAGCCATTCTACAGTCTAAACAATAAAACCAACAAACACTACAAAAGCACTTACAAAACTTCCCATGATTCAAAATTTCCCAGAATCATGCACCCAATTATGTCACAATAGGGTTTCCATAACATTAATCTACTCAGTCTACCATAAATTAAACAACTTCGCCATAATACAAGGGAGTACCTTAAAGTCTACTCTAACCTAAAAATTTCTAAACTTACGAATATCTGACGGTAGAATCCCCCCCCCTTAGATTTTTTTTTTGGTTGATCTTTGGATTATGGTAACTTGGCGAAAATTTGGCGACCAACGCTGCTACAGCAACCCTCTATTTTATTTTTTTTTCGCCGTCATTTTGTCTTCACGAAGTAAAGACATGTTTCTTTTCTTTTTATTTATTGAACACTTTTTCCAACAATCTACTAGCCGAATTACACTTATGCTAGAAATTTTATGTAACAAAACTGCTTAATCATGACAAATATTAACTGCAAAATTGGGAAAACGTGCACAATCACAAACTCCTTGCGCGTTTTTCAGAATAGCACATACACATAAACCATTTACATGTCGACTTATTTTTACTTAAAAAAACATCCCAGAATAGCACAAAAATGGCATTGCACACACTCTTAACTTTATCCATCTACACTGCTATTTTCTCATAAATTACAAAAATTTGCATGAAAATGCAAAAAAGTTCTGTGAATCTTTAAACTCGGTAAAAAGCACATATATGAAATTACCTGATCGCGAAAAAGTATATACCCTTTCCAAAGATGAACATTTCACCTATAAAATAAATAAAATATTCAAAAACTTTTACCTCTAAATTATCTATTATATTATAAACGTCACCAACGAATTCATACCGCAAACATTACAAATGGTTACAAATACTTAGTATCAAGTATTTAAATTATTTCCATGCACGTTTACTTCAAGTGAAATGTATACCAAATTCCAACAAACATAAAATTCACAAAATAACTATCATTTAATTAAAATATCACTAAACCATGTACACGTCGACTTATTTTTACTTAAAAAACATCCCAGAATTGCACAAAAATGGCATTGCGCACACTCTTCACTATATCCATGTACACTGCGTTTTTCTCATAAATTAAAAAATTTCACGAAAAATGCATGAAAATTTGTGAATCTTTAAATCCGGTAAAAAGAACATATATGAATTACCTGATCGCGAAAAATTATATACCCTTTCCAAGATGAACATTTCACCTATAAATAAATAAAATATCCAAAAACTTTTACCTCTAAGTTATATATTATATAAATGTCACCCAACGAATTCATACCACAACATTACAAATGGTTACAAATACTTAGGTCAATATTTAAATAATTTCCATGCACGTTTACTTCCACTGAAACGTATACCAAATTCCTACAAACATATAATTCACAAAATAACTATCATTTAATTAAAATATAATTAAATTCAAAAACACTACTTAAAAATATAAAATCTTTGCTAAACAATTTTCCAATAATACCATATTATTTTATTTACTCCTTACATTTAGAACAATGCATAAAAATATATCCTCAAATAATTAAAAATACTAACTTACCTAATCTTCTTCAGAATCTTGATTACGTGTCCGATAAACTTTTCTTATTTCCTCCGCTAAATAAAAAGCAAGCGTATGTGCGCCTGTTTCAGGATCTTTAAAATCGTACTTATAGTTTACAGCAAGGTACCAGGTAAAATAAATAATAAAACATCTTTACTTTTATCTTGCACAACCTTAAAAAAACACTTATTACTACCCCTTTCAATCTCACTAAATACCCATTTCGAATTCACTTTAGTTAGGGCCATGGGATCCAAAAATTAACGAACACTGTTTCACACAACACAGAATAAACCTAAATACAAAATTTCCAGATTTTTTCCCGATTTCCCCCCTTTTCCGATTAAAGAACTGTAATTCGTCCATTAATGTCACATGACATATCTCATGATCTCTCATTTCCCTCACACAAAATAATGCGTAATCGGAACTGAGTACTTCTCACATTATAACCAAAGTCCTAGGTAGTAACCTTTATCGCCTCCAAAATGTCGACAAACTACCAGTTACCATATTCCAAAAATCAGCCTTTTTTTTTTTTTTTTTTTTTTCCAATTTAACCGTATTGCAAATATTTTGACAATTATTTTTATGTTTTGAATTTTTCACAAATCACCAGCTTTTGGTGATATTTGAATCCAGTCCCGATAATAGAACTAGCAAAGTTATCAGATTTATCTAATTACACATATTGGTGGTAAAAGTATAGTTTAGGGTACCCCTTGGTGATTTTTGGCGGTACATGGATACCGATTTTGTGCAATTTTTGCAAAAATCGCTGCTACACTAAGCCAAAATAAAATAACAAAACAAACAATTGCACAAACTCGGTATCCATGTACATATCGATTTATTTTCACTTAAAAAAAATCCCCGAATTGCACAAAAATGGCATTGCGTACTCGTTTGACTTTATCCGTGTACACATCGACCTATTTTCACTTAAAAAAAATCCCCGAATTGCACAAACTTGCACCCTTTACTTTGTCCATGTACACATCGATATATTTTCACTTAAAAAGTCAAAGGAGCAGCAAATTCTACAATATAGGCAAACAAAAATACATAATCTCAA